TACCTTTAAAATAAAATAAACCAACTTATATTTACAATGAAAAAGTAAATAATTTGTATGATAATTATAAGTCGCTAAAACTGTTGTTGCCTACACACTCATTGGAAATAAGAAAATCCAAGTGAAGAAAATTGGATTTTATAGTGGATTCGTAATAATCAATACCATAATTTTTGTAATGGATTTTACTTCATGTAAAGTAAAAAAAAACCTTTTAGTAATTGCTTTGAGAATGTATTAATCATAAACCTCCTAATACTTCAATTGCAACCAGAACAACCAGAACTTCAATTATTATTTATTTAGTGACATTTGCTTAAGAGGAATATTTAACTTCGCGCATTCTTGTGTATAGAAGGGGAATGTAAGGGGAATGAAGGGGGTCGTGTGCGACAGAATGGTTGAACTAAAACATTCAAATCTTCCAGCTTCAGCCCACGTAAAACGGAAGCTGTAATAAAACATTTCTCATCCCTGAAGTCAGGTACGCATCAGATCCATTTTTTAAATAGGAATAAATTAGGCCAAATGTTCTTTAAACGTAAACGAAATCATAGTAATTGTATTTTATTAATTAATTCTGATTAAAAAATATTAAACCAACAACTATTATTTTGTATGTTATTTTAAAACAAGGTTTAGGTTGTTGTAGAATAATGCAATACTAGGCAAAACTATCGATCAAACATGATCATCCTTAAGTTTTTTAGAGTTGGTTGGTATTATAATTGTACGAATATTGCCAAATATAATGCAAATAAATTATATTTGTCATCAAGAGATTATAAAGTTATTGTTATTTAAGGCTAGCTGAAAATATTTGTTTTTTGTTTTTAATGTTTTCTAATATAATCTCAACTTTAAAAGATCAAACTTTCAAATTGTTCTTATGATATGATTTAAGTATTTGCTACTAGAGGATATTCATACAAGAGTGTTTGATAAAACTAATCGAACAACTGCTTGACATGAGTTACCCGAGCAGAATGTGGTGCCACGTGTAGCTAAACTTCGGATACTATGCTGTTCCAATTATTTACCAGTGTGCTTTTCCGATCATGTTGTCGACTTATTACATTATGATTGACTAGATTTTTTTTGTAAAAAGTAAAACATAATTTTTAGGCATAAAACAAAAATCATTAGGTACTAAAAACTGTAGTATAAAATAATTTATCTACTCATTATAATTACATAATAATAATTCGTAAGGCACTTAAAACTATTTTTAAAGTCAGTTAATTCTTACAGTCGTTTAAAATGTTACTTTAAAAGTTAAATTGATCTTCTTACTAATATCTCATCAACACATGAAAATTCAGTTAGCAGGTTAAAAAAATCCTATTAGGTAAAAAAAAACACTGTATATTAGGGTGTTGGATAATGAAACTAAAGACAGGTTTACAAACAAGTGAATGTATATTGTTCAGTACTATAATATTAAAGAATTATTTTATGAAATAAGTTTTTTATGTAAACCTCTCTTCGTTTGTCCCCAGGCCAAGCATCGTTTGTTCAAATATACACGACTAAACGTAAAGTACCATTCTTTTGTTATAATTGTTAATTATAATTCTTTGCTGTCACGTGTCAGTTTACGCTAAAGTTAGTATTATTCCGTAATCATACTTAACATAAATGTTAAGCTACGTAGGCCTACGCCTAAATAAAACAAAATCATTTAGTTTCTGTGTAAAAGAGAATATAAATATAAATCTCTTTTTCAATGAGAAAACATCATATTTTAGGAAGAAGTAAAATTTACCAACGTACCAAATAAAATGTTCATATCAATTTATATTAACAACAGGTCGTCCAGTGGTCGAAAGCTTGACCAAAAATATGTAATAGACTTCTCTATTTTCACCCCATGCTGTAGATAAAACATGTGATTGGAATTTGTTCTATTTATGTTGATTTTCTGTTTACATTTCGTTGTTATTTCGTCCCCAGCAGGGCAACCCATAAGGCTCATGTTAATTTTTAAAAATTTTAAATTAAATTATTTTTGTGCTTTTGAGCTTATTTGAATTTATAAAGAGATTCTTCACATCTACAGAAAAATATTTTGCTGACAGTAAGCCAAGATTTTCCCTGCGATGCACACAAGCTGAGAAAAAAGATTTTCAAGAAACATGCTTGGCTACTAATATATAATAAATAAACACTGAATAACATAAGTATACAACGTTGAACACTCAATGATCTGGTATGTATCATGATAGATCGTAGGTAATTCTAGGTTTTTAATTTCTTTCTTAATATATCTCTCATAAAAAGCTTACTAGTCCATCCCTAGAAACTTGATACAGCATACATTTTTACATTGTATACGTAAGATTGTTATTCCTTTTAAGGAACAGGGTACTTTTATACTTCTTTTAGACCACGCAATGAAGTATTATGTTGGGTTCCCAAGAAAAAGTAAAGTTATAAAGCTAAGACTTTTGGAGAATCCTCGTGAGATCAAAAATATTAATAAAATATCTAGAGCAATTACGAGATTAACGACGACGCCGATGTCGCATCACTTCTCTTGAGGCGGTCCTCAGAGAGAATCTCTCCCCCCCCCCTACACCTCTCTCTTGTGATGAGGGAGTAAAGAAATATTGTAGCCTTCTGTGCCTTTGTAACTGTGCATTTAGATTTAGCATATTTAATATTACTTGTGAAGTTATATAAAACATATCTATTCAATGGCGATAAAAGGAAGTTTCAGTTTAATTCTATTCTGCGCGTTCGATAATATTTTTCTCTATTTTGCATGGCGAGTCTTAAAAATTAAACCTATGTTTGAAATCAATGAGTTAACACAAGCAATGATTGGAGAGTAATAATTTAAAAGGTAAAAACATTCTTTTGATCTGCAGATGAAGCTTTGAATGTTTCGGACATACTTATCGATATTACTTATGTAATACATACTATTCGCTATCTTAACAAACTAGCATCGATATAAAAAATAGATATTGGTAAACCAGCAGTTTAACACAGCTCTTTCATTGACGGGTATCTTTACAACGAGTGACAACTTCACAAAAAGCTTCCTGTCTATTCAAACACTTTGTTCGGCAACAAAAGCAGAAAGGTTTCGCGATCTTTTCAAAACCATCAGTCCTGATAAATGCTACGTCGCCTATGAATAACTGACGGATGGAAGATATGTTAGACTACAAGGTGTATACCGATCTGTTATTTTATTTCACTGGAGAGCAGACTGTTGAGAGATTTAAACACTTCATTTATCTCAACATCACCCGTCTGTTTACCGTTTATAAAACATTTATAAAATAAATTATGATTATTTATTAGACTATTTGCTTACACGTGGGTAAGCTGGACGTAAAAATGTACAACAGTAATCCATTAAAGTAAAATATGAGATACATAAAAATAAAGCAAACTGTAAAATAACCTTAACTATTCCAGCTAGGAAGGTCTAATTAAGCCTATGAAGGTCGGAACGATGCTTCTAGGTGTCAAGACTGCTTCTGCAAAACCTCAAAAAAACACTAAAAACTAAAAATATTATGTCAGTAACAATGTTTAAGTCAAACTGTCAATCATGAATGTCAAATTAATGTGTCGATTAGCTTACTTGTTTCTGTGTTAAAGATGTTTTTGTTAGATATTATATTTGATTTATTTCTGAAGAATGTTTGCATAATAAAAGAAATATGTTAACATTCAAGTTATTAAAATTATAATACTACAAATTAACATCTTAACAACTTGAATCAAATGTCTTAAGCACACATGATGCATTTGCATTACGTTGATATTTTGTAATCATAAATCGAGCATTTTAAATTAAATTTGATTACGAATCCCAAAACTCTATGTATAAATAGTTTCTTAATAATATTGAATAATGTATCATTTTGACATTTGATTAATTAACAATTAATGTTCATTTTGACATTTACAGGTAACTTGTTAATATATCTAATTATGAAATTAAAAGATTATACTTCCAGTAAAATTACTGAGTGTTTAAAATGCGTCGTTGGATGTGTAGACTTGTGAAGCTACAAGACCACTGAAGACTGCGAGGTATGAGTGTTTAAAATGTGTCGTTGGATGTGTAGACTTGTTAAGCTACAAGACCACTGAAGACTGCGAGGTATGAGTGTTTAAAATGCGTCGTTGGATGTGTAGACTTGTGAAGCTACAAGACCACTGAAGACTGGGAGGTATGAGTGTTTAGAGTGCGTCGTTGGATGTGTAGACTTGTGAAGCTACAAGACCACTGAAGACTGCGAGGTTTGAGTGTTTAAAATGCGTCGTTGGATGTGTAGACTTGTGAAGCTACAAGACCACTGAAGACTGCGAGATATGAGTGTTTAAAATGCGTCGTTGGATGTGCAGACTTGTGAAGCTACAAGACCACTGAAGACTGCGAGCTATGAGTGTTTAGAGTGCGTCGTTGGATGTGTAGACATTAGTACAAGACGTGTGAAGCCACAAGACAAATTGCAATGTTATCCCGGCACTTGTCTCTGGGGGGATTTTCCCTCTCTCTACATTTATAGCTGCTACGTGACGCTATCACACATCCTCCTTCCTCTAGTTAGCTTTTATCTGACCGATCTAATAACGAGCTCGTTGCTTTACAGTTTACACATCCTACACCATATTTGTCAGGAAGGCAGCCGATGTTGTGTTGTTAATTGGGTGACTTAATCAAATATTTTGGACAAGGAGAGTCATTTTATGAGATTACATGTAATCCAGAGACTACGTCCAGGAAACAGGGCATCCTTAAAACATCTGAAAAGTAAAAGAAGCCTGAACTGAGTCTATTTCTTATATAACTTTTAATTCACCAGATGTAAAGTCATCTGTATTTTTTTTTTAAACCAGTTAAATGCTTTAGCCTAGTGTAGTATTTATTGTTTTTGTGATTTTTGTTCAGCGACTACCAACGTACTAACTCCTACTATACTATACTACTACCAAAGTCTGACTCCACTCTCCTAACGTATTTTTTATTGTTCCAGTTATGCCTCGTCTGGCGACCTGTCATCTGATGCAGTTCTGCTAGAGCGTGCAATCCGCTGCAACGACACTGTCCGCGTCAAACGATTTCTAAACCTCCACCACGAAAAATTCCCCGTAAGTAAATTTGCTATTAAATATATTTTTGTCTATGGGAAAGAAAATATTAAATATTGCCAAATATAAGCGTTATCAAATAATTTATTTTAGCATTTTAGTAAAATTAAGCCTCGTGGTTTAGTTCTAAATGACATCACTACTGTACATATTTTATTATAATTATCTCTTAAAACAATTTTTTTTATCTTGTGATTTTTACCACATGATTTTGAGAACACAGTTTCATTTTAGTAAAAATTCTAGCATATCTCACATTTAAATGGTATGATCTCGTGTATAACTTTTATTTTGCAAGTCCTTTCTTGATTTCACCCAACTACTTTAATCATTAGAAACGTTTAATAAATACCAGGCTCTCTCCCTAAGTGGAAGTCTCTTTAATTTGGATTATAATATTAGGGGTTTTGTCAAGGTCTAAGGAATAGATTTGAAATTTGTTTCCTTACAAGAGCAAACAAAACTAGTGTAGGCCTTATCGCCTCATTTACTCTAATAATTAGTAATTATCTAATCTGATAATTAATACGCCAACACAAAATTAGTGAGTGGGCTGAGCACCTCTGCCATTTCTAAACTGATTTTGACCATTGTTTCGCGTCTTTTTTCAAAGAGCGTGTAAAATAGCGCAACACAGCGCTCAGTTTACAGCGCAGCGTTCAGTTTCAGTTTGCGTTGGTGTGCAAACTGGTTTTAAATTTTTGAGAAAGGTCCCTTGGACTCTGCCCCAGTGGCTTATAAAGTTTCAATGTTATCCTTGTGAAGAACATATTTGTTTGCATAATGGTCAGCTGGATAATCTAATTTTAGTTGCAATTCAAGGACTCGCATGCAACAAACATTTTTGCTACACTACTGTGAAATGACTTTTTTTTGTTACACGATAATTGCCTTTGAAAATTCATCATAACACTGTTTACTACGCAAAAACAATGTTTACTATGCAAAAGTAATGTTTTTGATCTTTTTAGGATTTTGCCGACGCAAACAAACAAACATTTGTTATTGTTGAACCATTTGTTTTCATTTGCAAAAACCAAAATAATACAATAAATGTAAATTCTAACTTTAAATTGAATGCTTAACTTAAAACGCTTTGAGTTTTTTAATGCTAATAACAGGAATAAGGAAATATCTTATGTATGTTTTAACTAAAAATAGCTTATTCCTTATAATGGGAAATTCGCTAAAAACAGTTATTCTTTGTAGTGTGGTGAAAAGTAACGTTCAAAACACGAGTGAAAGTGGGTATTTAAATATGCTTGACCAAATTTCAAGTGCTCGATAAATATCGTAAAACGTACGGTCTCACACACTTTTCTACTCTTGTTATGAAATATACTATTACTGACTTGGCTGAAATAAAATATTTACTCTTTGAATTTGGATTTACGTACATATTACAATGGAAAAAGCGAAAAATCCTGGACAATTTTACACATTTCACCAAAAAGAAAACTAAATTGACACAGTACTATATTTCTTGAGCGATAATTGAAAGAACTGATTTGCTAGTTATCAAAATATAGGAAAGTCTTAGAACACTACCAAGTTTAAGATATTTATATCATGTTTTATTAAGAATTATTTATCATCATTAGCCTATATATCGAAAAATACCTACAACATGAAGATTCTTAAATAACGATTAAGGATGTTAGCCGAAGTGCTACAATTCTTTGTAGGAAACATCAACTTAACATGTGGTAATTGCAGAGGAAACCCATCTAATGCTTAATAAGACTGGTACGTCATGGACATTTAATCTATGTTTCCGTTAAAGTAAAGTTGTTTTAGAAGAATACGACAAATCCAAGAGACCTTTACTAAAACTTCCAATGAAGGATTCTATTAACTGTTTACAATTAAGGAAACAAAATATACCACCTGAGCAACATTAGGCCTTTTAACTCTGCATTTTCTAAGGTAAATATAATTGACGTCGTTACAACAACTTGCCAATATAGCCAATTGTAGATAATAGAACTGTGACAGACAGTTTATTAGACAATTTATTATGTGATTTAGTTTATGCTGGAAATCAGTTAATGTGAACAAATTGTATCGCCATTTAATATTATAACCGAAATATTTAAACATACTGCTGACAATAGTGGTACCCTGCAGACTAAATGATCAATGACAAAGATCAACATGAAAAACCCAATGTGGAGACATTGTAGAAAACAAGATCAGCTTTTGAAAAATGATAAAATATTTACAAGATATATATTACATTGAACCGTTACATCGTGCTCGCTTTAAAATGACTCCTGTAATACTTTGCAACTACTTGAATTCGAACAACAGGTGCACTAGTTAGGGATTATTTGAAGAGTTGCCATTAGACATAGTTTATAAATGTAGGATATCAAAAAAGTATATTTCATATCAAACAGTTTTTTTAACTACATTTTAACTAAATTTTTTAAATACATTTTATGTTTAACGTTTTTAACAGCCCTTTACATATTTCGTAAGTACAGGATTAATAGAATAAAACTACTGAAATTCCCAGCCAATAAAAGTATTGGCTTGTTTTTTTTTTTGTACATCAAATAATAACTTGCAAGCTTTTCACTTCACCTTTCTTTATATAAACTTCACCTATAAATCGCCATTTCTATAAAGCACGTTAATATTATTTTTCACAACGGTGCTTCAACCAATTATCACGTAAATAAAAGAGGAAACTTGATGTCACTTTTGTAATGTATGTTGTTAGTAATGTTCAAACCTATTTTGTTAACGACAGAAGCCTCACGGGAGTTCTTTCAGCTACCAATGAATAAACAAGATACAAAAGAAACGTGTTTTTATTTGCCATGTTATTGAAAATATGCAGGTTATTAATTTAACAAAAAACTTGGTATCTGGACCGCTTTTTTACTCGGAATGGCAAATGGTACTCTAAGTGTAAAACTTTGACAATACAGTACTTTATTTCTAAAGCATTTTCCTTTAATCTGGCTATTCTTTTCAGAAACTGTAAACAATAAATGTCCAAAATTTTAAAAATGGATAATACTATAAGGAATAAGGAAATTAAATCTGTAAAATGTGTAGGTCATTACTCAGATTTTAAAAGTTTTACCAAACTGTTATGTCTACTATGAATATTATAAAATCTATATACTTTATTGAACCCAACGTCTATTTTAATGATTTCATCGACCATGACGTAGTATTTTTAAAGTAAAATAATACTCAAAACCGTTTTGCTTTAGTTTTTGCAAATTATGATACTATTTTTATAGATTTGGTTCAATATTCAAATTAGCTCATAAGAGTCCAAATAGTTTATCACGGCACATTTGTATTCTACGCATATCGGTTGCAAAGGCACCTAAAGTGCTGAGCACAGTTCATTGCCACCTATATTAACAATACACTAATTGATGTTTGCACAGCAAGACATAAGCTAGAGGGTCTATTTTATATACTAACTTGGCAAGCTTCATCTTCTTTAAGAGTTGTTATGTTCAGAGAGGAAAACGGCTTTGTGGTTTTATTCGCAAATAACATTTTACTTAAACTCCTAATTTAGGACATTTCAAATTTTTTTTTTAATTATATGCATAGAAAAATTTACCTTATTTTCTTATTGTCTTTTTAAATAGTAAAATATACATTACCACACAATATATCATTTTTAAGATTATTTTATGTGGTTTAGAAAAAAAAGATTAAATTGACAAAGCGCTTTAATTGTAATATAACATACCTTAATCTCACATGCTCGGCTTTTCCTCGCACGTGAAATTTTGTTTTCCTGTGTTCGACTTTCACTCACACATGAAACTTGAGCGCGTGTCGGAAAATGCCACTTTCGGTCCTAGTAATGAAATATACGATTTATAACGTTTATGAAAAGGAAAATTGACCAACTAAATTTTTTGAAAATCTTCCTATTTATTTTAAAGTACCACACCACTACAGTATCTTAAAATAACGTATTTTTCAACTGTTGTTCTGCAAAGTGTATTGAAACCAGTTTAAGTAGAAATGTTACATCTCAACATCTCAATCTATAAGCTATAGTAATTAATTATACAACAGTTATTGAATTACTTCCGTACAAATTTTCCAGGTAGTCTAGTGATTACTGTGTTCACCATTTAATCTCAAGGCTGCTAGTTCGATTCCAATTGAGAAAAATTCTGGTCTTAATGATATTTAACATTTATCATTGGGGTATTAATTAATGCTGCGATTTATCAAACGTTTCGCGTTAGAAAGTAACAATACCAGAGTCCGGATCGTGTACAAAACTTGAAAGTTACTAATGACGTTGATTAACACAAATAAAAATAAAATATGTTCATGATAAGTAATCATACAGTTGTATTTGAAGTGTGGCTAGTGACACAGATGTGTTGCTTTGCAAGAGTGTCTGTCACCTCGTGGACGCTTATGGAAATCAGATTGCTAACTCGATAACGTCGCTTCTGAGAGTGCCTTAGGCCTACTGGATTAATTACCTGATCCGACCTTTTACTGAATCTAAACCAATTTCGCTCTGTTTATGATATGATACCCGTTAGTTTTGTCCTCTTATTTGGATTGCGTAGCTAAATAGTGGCTTACTATTTTACTTGTACACACCTAGCTAGTTAAATGGCATATTCACACGGAATTTTAGAGTTAGGATGGAAATATGTCTATTATTCAAGAGATTTATTTTTATAAAACAAAATATTATTATATTACAAAAACTACACATTCTATTATTTACAATGCCATTTAATAGTTTATAGTTTTTCTCGTAATAAAATACCGTAACAATTTACCAATATACTAAAGTATGTTTATACTAAACAAGGAAGTAAACGCACATAATGTTAAACGATTCAAGTTTAAAATTTCTTACTTAAAATACATTTTGATAAATTATGAAGTGATGAATTCAGCAACTACGGATTTTGATTTTAGAAAACCTTTTTTATTACTCAATTGTTAGTTTTATTAAATATAGTTTCCAACGATTAAAAAAAAAGCTTTCTCTTTCGTTTCAAACCGGTTGATATTTAGTTCTCAACAGTTAATAACTACATATCAACCTGTTAGTTACTATGATTCCCTTAAACTTACATTATCTATTCTCATTTTATACGTTGTACATGAATATATACAGTGTGTAAATTAGTCTTTAAACAAATCTTTATAAAAATAAAAAAAAATAGATAGATATATTCTGTTTGTGTCGTTGATTGTTAACAAAGGATCCGTAATTGTTTACATAAAAAAATATTTTTAAATCCCCCAACAGGGTAAGGGGTAGGGGTGACTAATTTTTAAATATAGCAACCCCTATTGAGTAACCCCTCATTTTGAAGGATTTGTCAAAAAAAGACAATGACGCAAACCCGAGGTGGATATCTCACCCCTAGCTAAAATGGTAGGTATTCAAAAATTTGATTTACTGTATGTGAAAAAGCACCAATTTCACAAATATGGAAAAAATCTGTATTTTAAAAACCGAAATAGATAGAAATATTCTGTTTCTGGAATTGATTGTTAACATAGGGGTTGCTATTTGAAAAAAATAAGTCACCCCCTACCCCCTTAAAAATACAGATTTGTTTCAAGACTTAATTTACACACTGTGTATATTGTTCTTTCTAATTTCGTTGAGTTTATATTCCTGTCGGAATTTCTAAGACAAAACATGGATTTTTAAGTATTTAAAGTATTGTTTTTTGAGTGTGAGTGCACGTTTTGTGTTGTCTGTGCATAGTTGGTTAATGCATCAGTCAATTAATACTTCAACTCATATTGTTTAACTTTATAAAAAATATTTGTCCGTAGCTACGGATAATATTTAATAGTGGAGGAAGTATCTGCTACCATTTATTATACAATAAGAATATAATTATTGGAGGCTGGCTCGGCACCATCAGACCCGCTCACGTCATCCCTTGCTAATGAAAATCAGATCAGTCAACTCAATAGCGTCTCTTCAGGGAACACTTGACTCAAGTAATTACCAAGCCCGTCACGTACAATCTCATCAGATCCTACTTTTACTGACATTTAGAAAACTGTGTGATCTTGTCACTGCTTACATTCATAGTTTACATTCATTACTTTAAAATAAATTTATGAACAATATTTTGTAACAATTTTTTTTATACATTTAAGATATTGCAATACGTAGTATTGATTAAATAAATAATTAAAAGTATACAAGCTTAAATATTTAATCATCTGTAGATGAAAATTCAGGCGCTGTTAGCATAACTAAGAGAGAAACCAGAAGATTAGGCTTTTGAAGCTGTAATTGTCGTAAGTGGCTCTGCTTTTCATCTCTTAGTTGACGTGTTAAAACCCCCAATTTGTCTTCTTTGGATCCTGAAATTCTCAGAATGAAATAATGTTTACATTTCTAACACAAAAATTATTAATGTTAAACATTTTGTATGTGCTCTTTTTGAAAGATGTTTAGACTATTTGTCAATGCCTATGCATTATTTTGTTTTCAAAAAATAAAATGGTCAATCATTGACTGATCAGCTGTTGTTGCCATTTTACAACCACTCAGTAACTTGTGAACCTCATTTATGAGAAGTGCTAACCGCAAATAAACACCATGTCAGATAACTTTGTTACTGCGGTGATAAACTTGTAATAGTTGCACGAATTAAAAACACAAACATAAATTCGTTGAACTGAGTGCTTCGGCCTGATAGGATGGTGGGGGAGATAAATTGCCTTTAGTTTCAAGCTTTGTTTGGGCCAAATTAAACAATTAATATTTGTCAACAGTTCCATTCATCACATACGCAGCCAACACAATGCGCTTTGTTTGTTTGTAAACTCTGCTTCATTATGCTTGCATTCCCAAGTATGTATTTTTCATTTTTGAAAAGAGTTATAATACCCCAAACTCATTACGGACCTTTTATATTTGCATTTAATACAAACATTTAGGATAAAATTTTGGAATTTAAAAGTGCAACTAACTATCAAATTACATGAACTTTTACATTTGTTCAACACCTAACAACGTATCATTTTACCTTCTAATGAATTCTACATTACTTGTTCATATTGTAGATAACACCTTGATAACCTAACATTTGGTATTCTGAAAATAAAATTCTGTCACTTTTTAAGTGTTTGTGAACTTACAGAGCGACTATAATAGCCACAGTCATAACTAACAGATTTTCAGTCTACCCCTCCAGATAAAAAACAAAAAAAAATCTTCACAACGTAAATCGGATATCTAGGTCTTAACGAGCCGCATATAGTAATGGCTATAATTTCCCTATGATTGGAAATTCGTTAAAACAAAACAAGACTAACGAAACATGATGTTAATCTGTTTTATGACACCAAAGATTGACCTTATATCAATCCATTAACACAACTCTACACACACTACAATTTCAAATTAATTATATTTCAATGCGCTAATGTCAAGTTATGCTATATAGATAACTATAATATCCCGTTGTAATGTTTATATCTAAAAGATGCTATTGGTCATAGAGTAAATAAAACGAGAACCACAACTAAATAACTCTTTATAAAGGCTTTATTTAATCCTCGAGTTTAAACCTTATAGCTTTACTTGATGCTGCTTCTGTTTAGTGCGTGGATTAAAGGTAATCCTACTTAGTATTACAACATAAAAGAAGGGTGAGATAAAAGGGAGTTGTTCCTTCTTCTCTACTAGCCTTGACTTGGTGAAACTTAAATTTTTAATGTGAACAGAAATATCTAAAAATTAACTTTCAACTTTTGCTAGGAATAACATGATATGGTATAAAATCAAACTACCTTTGGTGATTTCCTATACAGGGAATGAGCTATTACCGTAGGTATCATAGTAAGATCTCGACCCGGGAACGATTCACTTTTTCATTTTGATGTCCCTGGAGGCCAAAAATACCATCCGTTCAAATTCGTATTTACATTTATTTATATTTATGTCTGTATTTTATTTAGTTATACAGCTTGATTGAAAAGTCTCGGAACCGTGTAATATTTTTTTACCATTATGGATTTAAAATTCCCGATATTCTTATGGAAAACAGTATAAGTAAACTCTTATAGCTTACTTGTTTATGGATTTGTTTTTATAAAATATGGCAAATATACAGGGTTAGTAAAATGTCTGGAGACACCCTGTTAATTTTTTAACGGCGAAAAACTAAACTTGGCACACCTTTATGGCATGTTATGAAGTACTTTTTGGGCATAACCGCCACTTGGTGTACATCCCCAAAATGAGGGATTTTGTGGGAAAATAAAAAAATTCAAAAGGTAAGACCCATCAAGTGACCCGTTATTTTGAAGTTACTGTTAAAATAAAACCTACAACGCAAACTAGAGGTATCTACCTCAATCCAGTAAAAAATGGCAGCTAATTGAAATTCTCAGAAATGAAATTTAACTTACGGCTTTCCAAGTCTGGAGTCCCCTGTAAATTTTGTAACGGCTCACACTAGAAAAACTAAACTCTGCACACGTTTAAAGCATGTTATAAAGTACTTTTTGGGCATAACCGCCACTTTCTGTACATCCCAAAAGATGGGGGAATTTGGGGGAAACTCAAAAATTAGAGACCTGTAGTTTTCCTAGCATTGGTGGTTTTCTTTCATCACGAACATAAAAATGAGGGGTCACTTGATGGGGCTTAATATTACAAATTGTTTAGTTTCCCCCAAAATCCCTCATTGTGGGTTTGCAAACTAAGTAGCAATAAGGCTCAAAAAGTACTTCATAACATGCCATTAAGATGTGCAGAGTTTAGTTTATCTAGTGTGATCCGTTACAAAATGTACAGGGACGCTCCAGACTTGGAAAGCTGTAAGTTAAATTTCACGTCTGAGAATTTCAATTGGCTGCCATTTTTTACTGGATTGAGATAGAGACCTCTAGTTTGCGTTGTAGGTTTTATTTTAACAGTAACTTCAAAATAACGGGTCACTTGATGGGTCTTACCTTTGAAATTTTTGAGTTTTCCCCAAAATCCCCCATTTTGTGGATGTAGGCTGCACCAAGTGGCGGTTATGCCCAAAAAGTACTTCATAACATGATATAAATGTGTGCCGAGTTTAGTTTTTCTAGTATAGGCCGGTAAAAATTAACAGGGGGTCTCCAGACTTTTTACTAACCCTGTATTTATCTTGTACAGTACTAAGCTATTAATATTTTAGTAGAACCACAACTACTTTCTCTGTTGCAGCAAACCTAGATAATCGTTAAACCTAATGTAATTTAAATGGAAATTCGTTTTGTCTGCAGGTTTGCTGCGGTTGGGGTATTTCATTTTGAAGTCCTCAGAGGCCAAATACACCATCCGTAACGATTATGTTTCTTAGATTTGTTAATTTGTGGAAATAATACAATATTGGTATGCGACATGTTGTTTTCAGTTTACAATCAAAAATTTATCGCCGATAGCTAGATTAATTCCGTTCAACGTAACTCTTGTAGGAAGACCTAAAATCAGCCAAAATGCTAGATGATGTGTATTTGTTTGCAGGTAAATCTCCATGGAAGCTTGCTGGACAAGTCCTCCTCTGATGATTCTGCCAGTCAGGATGTTGAAATTCTGCTTAGAAAATCGAAAACACTCATCGACAAGTAAGCATTGATATATGAAAATGTCAAATCTATTTACCATTGATCCATATGTTCTTACTAAACATGGCTCCAAACTGTTGCGTTACAAGCTTAACTCTCAACAGTCTCTACATCTAAATCGTCTCCCACAAGTCATAAGGTACATGACACGCATACATTAGGATGTATACGTTGGGTCAATTTGTTTCTAACTATATTCTCTAAAATCTCTGAAAGAACCGATTTAGATATCACCTTTGTTAAACATTATTTACATGTATAGCTAGGACCAGAATTCCAACGAGCTTTATTAGATAACTTATTTGTCTCAAACTAATCGGAATATTATTTTACACTTTTCATGTGTGTAATTATTTAGTATATGGCAGACCAAACAAACCATTTGCTAAATGTACATAATCTTGTCAGAATTTCATAATTTTTGTTGCCTTCGGATAACTTTTTGGGAACTTTGCTCACCACACATAGTTACGGTAAAAGGCGAGTTTATTATATCCTTAAATCAGAAGGAATCCTTATTTATATACATGAAGTCTATTTCTACGAAACTCTACTCCTCCTTTAATAATGGACGGATTTTTACATACGATGTGTCAAAATGGAGTATTTTTTTTTTTTTAGACGCCCCCTTTCTCCAATTCCTGTAGTAAAAGTCCTCGGGCTTTGCCCCACAGGCAATCAAAATCCCAATGTATTTCTTTTGAAGAAGAGATTTTGTTTACTTAAACAAACAAATAATTTGTATTAATTACAGCTGTTGAGGGGGGGGGGTCGACAGACCGGGGGGTCCGGTAAAAGGGGGGGTCCGGGAAAATAAAAAAAATATAGGCCCTAAAACGGTCTTTATTAGCTCTCTATGCATTGAAAATAATCAACCGCAACGTAAATACAGTATGATTATATAATTTTACATTTAATTTATAAAAAAAAAATTATTTAAGTCCCCAGGACACACCCCCCCCTGGCTACGTCACTGGCTGTTCGTCGTAAACACATGATACACACAAGATTGTTCGTTTTTAGAAAGAGATCGTTTTCAGTTTCGATGACTGGAGTGGAGTGATTGATTACACTATCTATGAGTTGACTCTTTTGTCATCGGACATTATGACTGTTAATTAATGCCTGTAATACTTTGCAATTGCTCGAATTCGAGCAACAGGTGCAGTAGTTACAGAATATTTTGAGTTTGGCGTGTAGTCGAAATTATTGTAATCTTGTGTTAATACTAGGTTTCATTAGGAATTAATAAACAACAGTAACGATTCACGGTTGGTTTGGATTTTAGGATTACTTTTCGTTATGTTTTATGCCATGCTGTATTCCAATTAAGCGTTATCTTATATGCCTTTAGACAGTTTTTTAACACACTCTAACAAAGAACATGAAACATGAAAGTTCATCCTTAGGGCGAGAAATAATGATTTACTTTTACATGCAAAAAAATTTCGTAAAAATTATACGTCTTGTACGGTTTATTTAAATATATATTTTCTTTTTAGCAGATTTCGGTTTTCTCATTTTTGACCCTCAAAACATAGAATTTCTTAATTTCTCTTCAAACTATTTTAAAGAGCTTAAAATAACAAAAAGTCCATTGTAAAGAAGTGTTTTATACGGTTATTGGTTACGGATTAAATCCAAAAAATGAAAAAAAAAATTAAATTACCATGCTCTATTTAAGGAGAATAAGTAAACTTTTGTAGTTTGCTTTTTTATGGATATGTTTTGATAAAATTTGGCAAATTTATTTATTTTTTTATTATAAGCTAATAACATTCTCCTAAAACCCACTGTATTACCCTCTACGTATCGGCAAACCTAGGTACATGTTAAACCCCATTTTTTTAAATAGAGAAAAATGTAACATGAGCGAAGTATTTAAGTGAAAATCCAACCAGGCAAATGGAAATTTGCTTTGTCTGCAGGCTGCGGCGTGGGCATATAATACGGTATATATATTTTTTTTACTACTGGTATATTTTAGCTATAGTAACAATGACATTTTGTTCAGAATAGATGATTCAGTAGATAAATTTCTCAAATTATGATTAGATGTTTGAGGGAGAATCCTCACAAAGTTATCCTGGGACATTATAAAATTTGTAATTGATATCAATGTGTTTTAGCAGCTTTTATCAATACATACAAACAAGTGTATGTATCGATTTGTATTTTGTAGCTGGTAAATATTTTATTACAAGCTATCAATTATAAAATGTTTAACAATTTGCTTACATATTATTTAAACGTATTTTGGCTATTACTGTATAGTATACCTTCTTGCTTTCAAACTATAATATATTATAGTATTGGTGGCCATAAACATGTGTGATTGTTCTAAAGTTATTGAGATAACTGTACCAATTACTTACAGATTAAACGAAGCCCAACAACCAGGGCTGGGGAGGGCTTAAAACTAATCCTTACAGTCCAATCTCCAATCCAAACTTTGCACGTTAATTTTCATACCTGAATGTTTAAATCTCCATTGTCAACAGAGGCGGTTCCAAGGAGTATAAACTCGTTTCAGTTTTAGTTAAAATTATTTGATTTTGTAGAAATAGTGAGTACCAATCGCACGTATCGTGCTCATTAAATATGTCATAATTTTTGGGTATAATACATTTTATACAAATTAAACTATATCACAAAAAGTTCGAAAAATATTAATTTCATATCCATTGGATTGTGTTTAAATACCAATACTTTAAAACCAATATATCATTATGAAGTTATTCAATACACTTATTCTTAATTTACTGCTCTTTTTAGTCATATATATTTTAAGAGATAAATTATTGATATCTAGGTAATCATATCAATTATAAAATTTTAATTCTGATGAATTCAGATCTTAAAATATTCTTCATAGGATACCTGCCTTTCGTGTGTAATGATGTTGGTCATGATATTGCTCTTTTAACTTGATCTGGTTTTGTTGCATAGATGTTTACATTGTTTGTCCTATTCTACGCAGGGGAAAATCATATACAAAGGTCATCGTAATTCAATACGAGGCCACCAAAACTGACTGAGTTAATCAGTAACCTGTGGGCACGATTGTGAAAAATTTTGCCCACCCTCACAGATATTAAGCATTATTTGTGAAGCAATTCTATGGGGCTATACACTATACCCTACTCTCTGCCTGAATAAGTTATTCATTCTACATTTAAGATCAGTTAAACATTTTCTCATCTGACCTCACACTTACAAATGTGGTTCAGTTCATTCCTATCCAAAATAGGTAGGAACACCTTATATAAATTTCAAATTTTGATATGGGCGTTTTTATCATCGGGAAAGTAATTTTGTGAATGTGTCTATAGATGCATGTACCATATAGCAATGGGTTTGACGAAATTATTTATTTTATTTAAGTTGCTTCCAAAACTGTTAACCAGTAAAATTAGTGATGCACCCATAAAATATTTTCCTTCAAATCTTTATAAACAGGTAAAGTCGCAATAATACAATTAATTTCGCTTAAATCACACTAAGTAATGAAACTAACTCAAATAATATCCAGTCATGCAACAAAAGTCATTAAGCCTAAAAGGATCCCAGATTTTCCAGAGGCTATGAAATAACGAGTTGCTCATACAACAAAGAGTCTCCTGCAAACTTACATCGCAAACTGTGTTAGGTCGTTTATCTTTGTACTTAGGTACCAAGGTACTCAACCATCCTTCCTTTAACTATGTTCATCTTTAGAATATCGAAATAGTTATAAGTTAGTTTTAATATGTTTCAATTTTAATAATATTTCTATGTTTATTAGCTGTAGTTTTCAACTGTAGTTAATGGCCAAATGTGCATGATATGTAATGTTTACCGTGGATGTGTGTGAAATACTAATTAAGACTCTTCTGACATAGCTAAATGGTTATGAAATGCCAATGTAAGTCGTGGTCATACCAAAGGCACACAAAGTAAACGACTAACACCTGATTTCTGTGTAGCATACAAGTAGGAATATTTTAGAAAATTATATTTAATTGAGTTGGTCAAATAAACAAATATAGCTTTTCCTGGATGGATATGTTACTAATGGCTTTTGTAAGAGATTCATAAAAACCTATCATTCCGAAAGGTGTTTCGTCGTCTGCAATAGGCTACTTATCTATAACGTATACATTTTATCATCTATTTCATGTATTCAACATATTGTAGTTCCACTTGCAAGGTGCATGCAAAGTAAGTGAGGCGAGATCTAAGTAGATAGTGTTACAGGGTAATAGAATTGTCAGATCCATTAGTAAGGGTTACTAGGTCAGACGGAGCTATGGGATCAATTAGTCTTTGTAATCCTAGAGTAAAATCTCAGATTGTTCATTCACTTACGTTCAACCATAATGGATCTGTTCAATATTGCTGATACCTCTCTAATGTTAAACTTTCAACTTTAAATCAGTGTATTGGTTAGGAAGAGTAAACTTTGAAATGTAAAATAACGAATTTATCGTAAATATGAAACAGTATTTGTCATTGGGTGTAGTGGAAATGAATTTCCCAACCTTGTACACAAGAATAAATTGTATGAATAAAATTTGATTTTGTAATTATTTAAACTATACAAAATTTCCTGAGACTTTTTAAAACACAAAACAGACGTGGTTCAGAATTTATCAGTTTTTACAATCAACAAATTATTGTATATGGATCAAAAGATGCTTTCAATTTGATACCGTGTATAATTTTGATTTAATAGCTTTTTTTATTAAATTTAACTCTAAAACGTTAAATAACCTCCATTTAAAAATGTATTAAGTTTAATCAAAAGTATCCATGGATACTTTTATGAGAACAACGTAAAAGTTTATACCAAGTTTCTCAAAAATATATGAAAAGGTCTTTAAATTTGAATTATTTTTGAAGAATAACAAAATACTGTAGGGGATTTCGGCTAAACTAAGCCAAAGGCACTACATATTTACCACTTATTTTCTTATGACAAATCTGGTTAATATACACTGATATTATTTTGCGATCATATT